GGTTACATGTCCATTTATGCAGGAATTGTCTCCGCGATTTGATTTTTGATTCAACACGCAATACATACCTGACCACAATTGAACTGATGGTCAACATTGATATCATTCTAAATAAACAAATTGTTCCAAACGAGCGTCTCACAGATTTGACTCTTTCGCTGAAGACAGTCGATGATCTGTTAGTTCTCCTTGATGGTCTTGCACCTAATTTGATCGTACTGAATGTCACTTTATATGATGCTCGTACCTCTACTCGATTACTGTTACCATCTGGATGGCCTCGTCGATCAATGTCTCATTTGACTGAATTTCGATTAACGACAAAAGAAAAGGCGGAATGGAAACTTGAATATCTACATGGTATTGTTATGGTTCTTGATCAGCTCGACACTTTTTCATTGGTTGTGGAAAATTGGATTGGTGATGCTGACAATCAGTTTCCCTCAGGCAACCAAATCGAAATAATCATCAATGAGTATCTTCCTTATCTTCATCACTTCTATTGCGATATTCAGACGACGTGTGATATTAATATGGAGGTAAGATTCATTTATCCAATATATTTTTCATAGAATTTTGTTGTCTTTTAAGACTTTTGTCGGATTCAATCGTCGTTGGCCTATGACATACAAAATAGATTCTAGAAGTTCAAGTCGATACTTATACACAGTTCCACGCCAATTCAAACCGTGGAATACATCGAGATTAGGCGACAATGATATAGCCAGTATGTATTCACTACTACTTACTCTCATTCCTGACACGTACCGTGCTAGTCTATCTGAATATATTTCCGATATCGACACATTTCTGCTTCAATCAAGAGATTTTCGTCGACTTCGTACACTGACAACGATGAATATTGAAGCACTTTCGTGCTTGACACAACGTATTCATACAGTAAAATTGGTAGGAACAAGCGACGTTTTGACATTTTCGAACATTTATCGCAACGTGAATCATTTAGTTATTACAAATACTAAGATGGATTCTTTGGCGGTAGTTATAAACCTTGTTGAATCTTTTCCAAATCTTCGCTCGCTCAACGTTCAGTTTCGAATGAACAACGATTATTTTGATAGTCTTGACGTGATTCTCAACGGTCAACATTTGCCACACCTTACCGTGTTCACAAGCAACTGGATCGATGAAAACTGGGGTTATTCGATCAGAGTCAATGAATGGTTGTTTGAGAAGACTATAATGAAATGGCGGTCGATTCCATTCTACGTAAATTCGGCATCTCATAACCAGTGGATTGTCTGGCTCTGATTAATATGATTCTAGTATGTAAATTCTAACCATCAAAATTAATAAAATCAATCATCCATATAGAAATTATTGTTGAGTTAATCTTTTAATGGGCGAATTTTGGATCGTCAAGTTCTGTCGATCTTGATGATGCAGTCAGGTAGATCGTGATCTATATTCCCATGCATGAGAGTTAGATTGACAATACTGGAGTAGTGAGCGTGTATCTGGATACAATACAAAAAATTGCTACATAAGAATGTGGGTAAATTGATAGAAAGTATCTTTAAAAAGATGATTCAAAGGAAGAATATGATAATTCTCATTCCTAGTCAGAGAAATAAAGATCGAACAATAATAACTCATTAGCATTGTATGTCTAATAGAATTAGGACAAAAAACACATTTGTCTGTTTTGTGATTGAATCTACATAGAAGAAACTAAGAATTGGTGTATGCGACTGGCTAATTGAAAGAAGAAATTCGTAAGTTTATTTAATGTTAGTCGAAAAAAAAGGGAGAAGAAACGTATGAAGAACAATGTTTGAAAGGCAATTGAGATTTGATTTTCTTTTTTTTTTTGAATATTTCATAGATTAATTCTATTGACTTTTTATTCGTATGAATAACAAATGAATGATTTTGTTAATGGTTTGGTAACTCGATTTGATGGTTTGACGTGTTCAACATGAGATATTGATGGTATTATTACTGTTTGTTGTTGTTCAGAATAAGAATTTGTTACTGTTACAAAAAACCATTGTCATCATCAATCTTTTTGACTATTTTATTTTGAATCAGTTTTATACTGATAAAATCAATATCTTTTCTCTTCTATTAATTGATTCTGTTTACTTAAAATACTCAATAAAAAAAAGAAAAAAGAACAGAAATTCGAATCTAATCTATGAAGCTCTTGAGGGTGTGGGTGGATGTGTGGGTGTGGGGTGTGGGGTGTGGATGGGTGTGGCTGTGGTTGTGAAACTTTTACCAATACCCACATCCACACCCACACCCACCATGATCTTCCTCAGGGATCGAAAAAATTTTTATCTCGAATCTATTAGAAGTCCATATAGTTCGATATAATTAAGTTTGTTGATTACAAATATCACATCTTTTTAAGAACTATTCGTATAATAAGAAAGATATGAAGTACTTTCTGAGACTCGCAAAAAACAGTTTTTGATCTGAAGGTCCATGAAAATCCGATTTTGTTTCATTGAAAATAGGCTCATTCGGTGCAGAAGTTTTTTTTCCATCAGAATCTATAAGAATCTTTTAGATATTGAAAACTTTTTCTATCCATAAATGTTGAATATCGCCGCGATTGTATCATATTGCGACAAAGAATGTTTTTTCCCTCTTAAGAAGTTATCATTATGCATGCGTGCCAGCGAGATTCTTTTTATCAAATATGCAATTTAATGTACTCTTTCTGATAAGACTATTTTCAGAGAAATATTCACTGTTTGGGCAGTTACTTTGCTCTCAAGACCATGTTTTTCTATGGGATATTACAATATAGGTATGGGCTGGATGAAGAATGTTGAAAATAGTCTCATTAGAAAGAGTTCATTGAGGTTACCTTTGTACTGTAAAAATCTCATTGATTCGCTCATGTAAACTGTAGTTTTGATAGAACTAAAAAAACACTGCTTATGACCATAGGATCTATCGGAGGCGGTATTCGTTAATTATCGATTAAAAAATTATTATCTCTGAAACCTTCTTATATATTCTGATAGAGAAAAAAAATTCTGCATCGAATGAGACTGTTTTCAAATGAATTTTATTCGGATATTAATGATCCTATGAACCTAAAACTAATTTTTCAGCCATATAAAAACACCTAAGATCTTTCTTATTATTCAGCTACTATTGGAAAAAAGCGATCTTTTCGTGATCAGCACCTTTAGCTCTATCGATCTGCATGGTCAACAAATAGAAGGAAGACAAAAAGTTTTTCGAATACCTGTGGAGACATCAGGTACCGAAAAAATCGAGATCACAAAGTGCAAAATAAAGCTGTAGAAAATGATCAGGACCTATTGAGTAATAGAATAGAAATCATTTCTTGTAATAATCAAAGGAATTCACCTATTTTTCATAGGACCGCTGTGATTAAGAAACAAAATGGCTGGACGTCGTTATTAGGTGGCTTTTTTTTTAATCGCTGTTAAGTGGCTTCTTTTTAAATTACGTATCTCAATACGTTCAAATTGATTTCTCATGAACCTTTTGATTATGGTAGAACCCTACATGATCTTTAAAACTGCCAAGGACACCATTGGTACTTTTCCGAATACGAAATCAAACGCTGTGAGACAGTATTTTACCCACGTTATTAAGGAAGTTGACGGTACAAGAAAACATTGTCAATTGATTATTTCAATCGTATTTCAGATGTATACTAGAGTTGTCTTTTCTTCCATTTCATTGGTCACCAATTCAAACCTATCGCTATGCTATATTGTGTCCTCACAATGTCCGTCAGATGTTCAAATCTATCGTTACTTCTCATTTCTGCTTGCTAGTCATAGTCAATCAGAGTGAGATCAATATATAGACCGAAGTAGACATTATAGTGTTTAAGACAATCATTCATGACGAACATTAAAAAAACATTTTAGACTAACCTAACGGATAATGCCGAAATTTCAGGCTAGTCATATCGTTCTATTTCTATATAATCGACTTGTTCATTGATCTGTAGCAGTTAGGATAAGACAAAGTGACTGTTCTATTCAAAATCGAAGCAAAATAATCAAACTATATTTCTCATCTACATTTATTTTAAGTGAAACATTATCTTCTGCTTTAAACATGATGAATTTTGAATTCTTACCCAACGAAATCTTACTTGATATATTCGAGTATCTTAATGGTATAGATCTTCTTCGTGCTTTTTATGGTCATAATTCTCGCTTCAATCTACTTCTTTACAATCAATTTCAATCATATCGATTTGATTTACTTTCTTGTTCAAAACATCAATTCGATATTATATGTAAACAACATTTACCATTTATTTCTAGTCGAGTTACTACTCTTACTCTTTCTGACAATGAAGATACTCCAGGACAAATAAATCAATTTTTTTCTTACATACCATCATTTCGTCAATTCATTCATTTGCGATCACTATCAATATTACACGTTCCTTCATATCACACATTGGTAAAAATTGCTGATGAATTACATTATCTTTCTAATCTCACTCGTTTAAAACTGAACATTTGTCGTTTTGGAAATAATCAAGTGAATCTTCAATTAGTTGTTAACAGTATTTGGAGTTTACCAAAACTTATCAATTGTCATTTTACTGCTTTGAATAATGAACAACAAACTTTTACTCTACCCACAAAATTGTCAATATCTCTCAAAACTGTATATATAGTTGGACAAAAATTTAAATGGAATCAAATATATCCTTTATTTGAATGTACATCTCGTCTAGAATATCTTCGTATTTTTATTACTCCTTTCGACAATAATCATTATCAATCATCTCCTATTCCAACATTAATCAAATTGAACATAGCCTGTTATCGTATGTCTGATACATCAAAAATGATTTCATTCTTGAAAAATGTACCCAATTTACGTCATTTGGAGATCTCTACGGCATTTAATCTAATCAATGGTTATCAATGGGAACAAATTATTCGTAGTTATTTGCCGAAGCTTAAAATATTTAATTTGAGCATGTTTGATCAATTTCCAGACGATCAAAATATTGAAGAACGAGCTAATGAATTAATTAACTCTTTTCAAAGTTCATTTTGGATTAATGAATATAAATGGTTTGTTCGATGTTTTATATGTGATAAAATTATTCGTCTTGAAACTTCATCTGTAATATTTTATCATTTCGAAAAAAAATTTCCTAATTGGTGGAAATCTACTTTTTCACATGACAATCATCTGAAATTTTATCATTGTATGACCAGCATCGATGATAACATAGTTTTTGATCAATCATTTCTATTTGATATTTTTCTGCAAAATATGGATTCTGTTTGCATAACATTTCCTATTAATAATCAATTTTGGTCCATTGTTCCAAGTTTAAAGACACTACGTTCACTTAGAATATTATCTTATACTGATACTTATCAATCTCAATTACAAGCTTTACTTGATCGTGCACCATATCTTTATCGTCTAGATATTAGACAAGAACTATCATTACCATTACAAATTTCATTATTCAAATATAATAATGCATCAGTTCGTCAACTTTGTCTACAGAAATATAACTATCGATTCAATGAAAATGAATGTGATACATTAACTCATTCATCATTGGGTGTCCAATGTGAAATACTTTCCATTAAAGTTAAAAATCGCGAAAGTATTATTATTCTTGTTAAAAATATGATCAATCTTCGAGCATTACATATTCAATGTGAAGATGATGAATATTCTAAATACTTGTCATTAATAGAAAATGTTAATGAATCTCATCAGACAAATAAAACAAACAAAGACGAGTTAATTCAATGGTTAAAAGATAATTTATCATCGACATATTTGATTTCGAGAGATCCAAAATCTATCAATTGTATTCGACTATGGATTCGATAATGACAACAATAATAACTGTTTATCTTGAATTATCATAAATCTACATTCTTTTGAATAATTTGTTGAATTATGATCATACTCTTACTATTGAAAATATTTGTATTTATAAAAATAAAGTATAATACGTGATAAAATTTTTTTTACAAATAATATCTATGCAAAGCTGATGAGCTATTCATAATATGATGATTGATCAAGACTGGTAAAATTTCAGTTGCAATCGCGGACGTAACCTACTAACTCCAGTAGGCAGTGAGTGACGAAGTAGATGAATCTGAAGATCAGAAGAGAGAAGATCCCTTCCGGTAATTTATGTTCGTTATCACGATCTGTGCGGGGAGAGGGGGAGCGAGTAAGGTCCAACATTCTTCGCTATACACTTAAACACTTCTTGTCAATCGTGTTTCACATAACTGAGCCGTCGGTTCACCGCTGTTCACTGGAGGTTCTAATACAGATCGGTGGTTCTCAGGAAAAACAGACGACATGGGTAATAATACAATTCTTTCAGAAAGAAACAAAAAATGGGGGTGTGGGTGGGTGGAATTGGGATCTGGGTGTGTGGATGAAGATGTATGCTCACCTAGGGAATCATATCCGTCTTCACCCACACCTACGCCCAGATTCCACACACGCTCATACCAATACCTGCACCCACACCCAAAGGTACACCCATACCACACTTTGAACCACATCTTAGTTGACGATCGTAAACAACTGCTTTTTGCTTGTTTTGTAGGGGCAGTATTATGACCGGTTTTTATTGTATTGTACACGGATGACGAGGATCGTAAACGGCCTGAAAATGGATTGTCCGGTCATTTACCGTCATTTGCAAAATGATGGAATACGGCCATAATGCTGTCACTACTAAACAGACAGAACAGAATGAAAAAAGTTGACTACGGTCGTATTTGTTTGACATGGCAAATAATGATAGCATAATTTGTTTTTATTCACAGACTATTAAATAATTAAATGTCGTGCTATAAAACTTTTTCAAACAACAGGATATTCATTTTCTCTTATGGGTCAGGTTTCTATTTGTTTTCAATGTAAGTCATGTACGATAGACACATATTAATGAAACAAATGAGCTATGCACTAAACACATTCGTAGTTTACTTGAACGTGTCATTTGAATAGAAGCAAAATAGTCTGGGTGTGGGTGTGTGGGTGTGGGTGGGCGTGGGTGTGGGTATGGGTGGGTGGGTGTGGG